GCCGGTGCGGGAGGGAGCAGGGTCGGTCCCAGCCGAGATCCCCGGCCGGGCCCTCCTGCGGGTCAGCCTGGGGACGCTCATGGGGAACGGGTCTCTGCTACTGGCAAGAAACAGGATTTAGGGAGGGAAAGTGGGCCAAGGGCAATGCCCAGCACTGGTGGCTTCTGTGATACCCAGGTACCTCTGCAAGGCACGGATCTCTCCGTCATGTCAACCCTCTGGCAGCTACAGGCATCTCCGTTACAGACACCAAAATCCCCCCCCACCGCCCGGCTCCAGACTGTTTGCCACCAAAGCCAAGCAAGTCCCACGAAGCAGGGAAGGTGGAGGAGACATTCCCTCCAGTAGCTCCTGGCCGGTTACCAAGCCAGGCCCTGAACAGCAGCCGGCCTCTTTGATGCAGGGCTGAGAATGGGTTCCTGGGAAAGAAGGAGGATGGAGGAAGGTGCCTGTCTTCCCCATCCCCCCCCGCCTGCTCTGCGCAGCCCAGGCTGGCTCCCCAGCTTCCCCCCCCCGCACCCAGCGGCAGGTTTTCCTGCAGAACAGGTTTGCTGGTATTAGCGATAGCGCTGCTGCTTTCTTGTCTTCCAGTCCCACCCCCCAGCGCTGAAGAAAAAAAGGAACAAAGGCGATGAGAATATCATAAAAGACTATGTAAAAAAAACCCAGAACTGCAGCAGCGAGTGCCTTGCGCTCATGAAGCACCGCAGCTCCCCGCTGCACATCACCGAACGCCCCCAGAAGAGGCTCTGGCGACAGACAGGTACCTGCTCTCCCACTTCTCCTCCCACCAGGAACACTCCGTTTCCCCTTAATGATTCAGATAAAACCACCCCCTTGTCCGGGACAGGCCTGTTGGTGTTACAAAAGAGGAAGGCCTCACCGATCGCCTCTCACTCCTCCACCACCCACGTACCGCAGCCGCTTTCACCTCCTGGCTCCCCACTGGCTGACCTGGGCCGGGATCACAGAATCACAGAATGGCAGGGGTTGGAAGGGACCTCGGGAGATCATCTAGTCCAGCCCCCCTGCTAAAGCAGGTTGTCCTAGAGCAGGTTGCACAGGACATCATCCAGGCGGGCTTTGAATATCTCCAGAGAAGGAGACTCCACAACCCCCCTGGGCAGCCTGTTCCAGGGCTCTGTCACCCTCAAAGTAAAGAAGTTCTTCCACATATTCAACTGAAACCTCTTCCAGCCATGCCGCAGTGCTGACCCCAGCTTCCCTCGCGCCTCCCTCCCAGCCTGTGTGCTCCCCAAAGGACTGGTCCCGAGCAGACGTTTCACCCAAAGCTGCCTGTGCAAAACTTGAGAGCATCCCCAGGTCCGTGCAAGTGAGGAGGTTCACCAGGAGTGGTGAGCGGGGAGCTGTACAGCTCCGGGGGCTTTGTGAGCACCTTGTTCTTCCCATGGCATTTGTTTTGCCAAAGTCAGATGCGTTGCTCCTGTCTTCTGGCATCAGGATTGACCAGGGGCTGGCCAGGAGGGCGCATCACACCCCCCCATCCCCTTTAATCAGAGTGAGGGACACACAGTTAATTAATTCTGCCTACATCTAAGTGCTTTTTATAGTGCTTTTTCATCCCTGGACTCTTGCCTTCAGCAAGTCGTGCTCCTGGCTAAAAGCTTTGGCTGCTCTGTTTGGCTGCAAGGTGAAGGTGCTGCTCCACCTCCTCCAGCCCCCTTCCCTCACAGAAAGGTTTTTCTTCCCTTTTTCTGTGCTGCTCCACCTAAGCAGGGACTTTGCTCTTCTGGCGGTGGTGTGTTCCGGACAGCAGCTTGAGTGGATGCGGTTACCGCTGTGATCTGACCTCATGGGACCTGACTGACATCATTTGTCTCGTTTAAACTGGTTCTTCAGATTTTGTTAAAAGTCCACCGGCAGTCAATGGCTTGTTCCTTACAATTGCCACTTCTGCATTCTGGATCTTACACAGGATTCTTTCAGCAGAACAAATGGGAACTAACATCCAGCCATCCTGTGCATGGGGAAGGCATGGAGAATGCAAACTCCTGGTTTAAAGCTCGGGTGACCAAATAGGAATCTAAAAGAGATTATTTAAAATCCCAGGACTTTCCCATGCAGAGCAGTATTTTACTGTCATCGCAGCTGTGCTCCTGCTTCCCGTCCCCTGACCCCAAGTGCACTTACCCACCGACCGTAACCACCCCGAGCCCCGCAGCACGTCCAGCTGGGACCGCCCGCTCCTCTGGCTCCCGGTGCTGAATATGAGCACAGGCTGAAGAAACAAAGGAGACAGGAGATGGAAGCCTTTAAATCCAGGTTTCCCAGTCTCAGAGACCATGTGAAAAACCCTTACTCTCTTTATTTAGTCTTTTCCTTATTTATTTAGTCCTTTCCTTCTTTATTTAGTCTTTTCCTCCATGAACTACTCTGTTCACAATTTGTATACCTGTCACTTTGTCCAGAAGAGTGATTATTGCTTAATTAATAATTTATTAACAATTCCCTGACAACGCAGGGATGGGATTCTCCTGGGGAAATATACTTTCCCTCATGTTGCTTTTAAAGATGCCAGATGTCTGCCTTAATTGCACAGATACAAAGCCAAACTCCATTGACGTCAGTGCTGTTAGCTGGGTTTTATTAGTAACAGGTAGATAGAAAAACCAGTATCGAGCAAAAATTCAGAGAGAATGACACGACACCCCCACAAACCTGACGGTGAGGAGTTCCTGGTGCCGGTACTTCCCTCATCTGCGATGTAGGGCTGAAGTGCCCAGACCAGAGCGCTCCTTTTTGCATCACCTCTTCCCCTCCTGAGAAGGAAAATACTGTGCAGAAAACGCACCTCGCGCCACGCTAATGAGGTAGGATCAGCAGTGGGAATCCGGCACTCTCCAGCTCCAGCCTCAGGAAGCGTCAGGGGCCTGGGAGCAGGAACAGGCTCTGCAGCCGCTCCCCCCACCCCACGGGAGCGTGGCTGCTGTTCCAGCGACCTTGGAGCTGAGCGAGGTGGAAGGAGCGGTGTGAGGCGGCGCTGGGAGCAGCTGTGTCTGGGGCCTCCCCACCTCGCCTCGGGAGCTGCTCTACGCTGGGGCCCCCATGAAGCTTGCGTACCCATGGGGACACGGCTGCACCCAGCCATGGGCCTTGCTGATCCTGGCCTTGCTGATCCCAGCCTTGCCTTACTGACCAGGCTTCCTAGCTCCATCCTGGACCTGCCCCGTCGTGATGGATTTGCGTGGTCATGACTGGAAGCTGATGGCATCCTGTATACAGAAACGCAGTAATTTACAGTCTGCTGAGGCTAAATTACTAAAGAGCCTTTTCTATTTAATAAACACCAACTTAGAAGCACATGCAACTAGACAAACTGATGCCTGTAAAAAATGGTTTAATGTTTACTGGATTTCCCCAACACTTGTCACAACAGAGGGAGCGGTTCCTTCTGCTTTACTGACAATGATGGGGTGAACCCATTTCTTGGGTTCCTAACCCAAGACACTGAAGACTATTTTCTTTTTGCTCTGAAAAACGTTAAGGAGTTGCAGAATTTTACTGAATTAAAAGCAGCACCACCTGAGTGCTGGGGTAGTGTCCCTGATGGATGTCAATGGGAACAGCTCTGGGGAAGCTGTGGCGATGCCCCGGTGCTGGCCCACACTGGGTGAGGGAGTGCTGTACTGGGAAGGCTGGTCTGCAGCCCCGGCACAGCTCCTCACCAATTCCAGGTCTGGAGACACGGAGACTCTGACACCTCCGCGGCAGCAAGATGATTGTCTTCAAAATGGAAAGCGTAGACAAGGCCAGGAGCCTGTCAAGCGTGCGGGTAAGTAATCCCAGTGGCTCCAGAAGCTTTGTAAGAATGAAGCTGGAAGTTAAGCGTGCAAACAGTATCTCACAGATGCGGCTTGGAATAGCGTGGTTTTCAATCTGCTCTTTATTGTCTTTATTTCTGTTTTTTCTGTTCTACGTCTTCACGGTTCAGTGGTGCTGCTGAATGCCAAGGAGTCAATCCTCAGCAACGGAGCTTGCACAACTGGAATACACCCACATCCTAAGCATTATTCACTAGAGTTACAAATCAACTCTTCCAACTCCGTGGTGCATCTGGCCAGCAACAAATCAACCCAGCTGTTTGACGTGGGCGCAGCAAGCATCTCAACCCAAAGAACAAGGAAGGTCTTAGCGGGGAGGAACGACTGCCACGTGGTAATGCCTCAGGCAAGCGACCCCGCGGAGCAAACTGTGGCCTCTTTGAAAAGCTGATCCCTTTGGGAGCGTCACATCGCGGTTGCACCAGCTGGGGCAGCCACTGCCGCAGCAAGGGGAAATAAAAACCATTCAGCACGTTACTGTGCCCACTGCGATCCCTTCAAATTGCTTCTGCCTCGTCTTCAGTCGTTGCCTTGCTAGAAGCCCAAGCCGTACACTCTCAGGAGCAAAGAGCGTCCTTTTATATTGTACGTGCCTACCGGCCTACCATACCCAGCCGAGCGAGGCCCTGGCCTCTCTAATGACCATTTTTAGGCTCTCATTGATGAAAGTAAAGCCAGGGGATTTTACTTCTTATACACACAACAACAATCAGGATTTCGATCCCCGGTTGAAGCCGCTGAGCTCCTTTCATCTGCTCGTGATGCTGCCGTGAGCAGAGAAGCTCCCCGCTGTGCTGGCTGAAGAGAAGCCACTGCCGAAGGCTGCCGAGCCGCGGTACAGCTCCTGAGGGCAGGCTCCTGGAGGGCGATGGTGCAAAGCCAAGGCTAAGGGACCTTCCCGCTGCCAGACCTCCCTCCCACCTGCCCCATCCCGGCAGTCACGCTGCGGTCTGTAAGCAGAGAGACGGTATGGTACGAAGCGAGGGAACCCACCCAGCACTTACCGGTCCCTTCCCAGGTGCCAGGAGCCGCTTTGAAGCTCCTGGCAGATTGTATTGAACCACCAGGTTGCCTTTTGGAGAGGCGCTCATTACTTTTAATCAGATAGCAGAATCATAGAATAGAATCATAGAATCACAGAATCATTTAGGTTGGAAAAGACCTTTGAGATCATCAAGTCCAACCGTTACCCTGCCATCCCACCACTAAACCCTGTCCCTACGCACCTCGTCTGCCCAGCTTTTAAATACCTCCAGGGACGGGGACTCGACCACTTCCCTGGGCAGCCCGTTCCAGTGCCTGACAACCCTTTCTGTGAAGAAATTTTTCCTAATGTCCAACCTAAACCTGTCCTGGCACAACTTCAGACCATTTCCCCTCATCCTATCGCCCATTAACCTGGGAGAAGAGGCCGACCCCCACCTCACTACAGCCTCCTGTCAGGCAGTTGTAGAGGGCAATAAGGTCTCCCCTCAGCCTCCTCTTCTCCAGGGTAAACAACCCCAGTTCCCTCAGCCGCTCCTTGTTAAGACTGGTGCTCCAGACCCCTCACCAGCTTCTTTGCTCTCCTCTGGACATGTTCCAGCAACCCAACGTCTTTCTTGTAGTGAGGGGCCCAAAACTGAACACAGTATTCGAGGTGGGGCCTCGAGCAGCCACAATAAACTCAAAGACTTGGTAAATGTCAAAGTCCGACTTCTTCCTTCCCTAAAGAAACGCCCACAAAACGAACACTCATTTTTATTAGCTGGCGGAATCCTCAGTTAACTATCTGAGATGGAAACAGCAATTACATATGTGAAAATAGGGCGGGAAGTGTAACTCAGTGCCAGGAATTTCATAGTTAGTGGTGGCCCGAGTGCCACTAGAAGCCTCCCCCATGTCTGAATATCCAGGTACCACTTTATAATATGCTTAATCTGACCCACCTGTGGGCTACGACAGCCAAGAACACTCACTCCCTGCGTGCTCCCACCATGTTTACCCCAAATCTACCATCATAGAGCTTTGCTACAACATTATCAGTTGCCTGATCCTGTGTAAAACTCTTTTATTGGTGGATTTATTTCCTAGTTTCCCTACTGGAGGGAACGGGCTGTCTTGCTAGGCGCTGGGGGGGGGGGGAAAATTAAAAAAAAAATTATCCCCTTTGGTGGCAGCCTGCAACCGCAACCAAGTATGCTCTAAAATGAAACTAGCTACACCCTAGAGGAAACTTCAGCGTGCCACAGCTGGTAGCAGCCAACACCACGCAACACATGCGTCAGACAGAAGCCTTCTGGTCACATCCTGGGATGGTACCAACCCGGGTCTGCAAAGCTGCATCCGCAGACCGTCAGCATGGATCGAGCGATCAGTGTGGTGAACTGCGCTGAGCTATGGCAGCCCAGACTCCGGCTTGGAGGATGAGGAGAGGGGACTGCCCCCGCTGCAGAGGCCTCCGCCGTGCAGTTGGGCGAGGGGCCACAGGGTTTCTCAGGGTTGCAGCGGTGACGCACTCCTGGGAAAGCGCAGGGCTTCCCAGCACCCCCTCCGCCAGCAGGAACCCCGCTCAGGAAGGCAAACCCTGCTCAAGTTGGACCCTAACAAGGAACCAACTAAGCCCGACGCACAAGCACCCACCTCCCACAGCAACAGGTAAGCAGCCACCAGGGGGGCACAACTTGGAGAAGTCTCACACCCACATCACCACCGTGACCAGGAGGTACTGGTGAATTATTCCATTTTCTGGGATGCCCAACCTGTGGACACAAGCAGGGAGCGGGAAGGCCAGCGCTGAAACCTTGCCTCCAACTAGACGGGGTTTATAACCTTTCCTTCTCCATCACCACCCCTGAAGTTCCAGCCTTTTGCTTTAAGAAACATCCCAGGGACTCTAGCCTCTTAATCGCTACCCACCCGAACCAAAACCCGCCCAGCAGTACCAGGCACCAGCTACGCTGTGTCCCAGGCTCTGCTTCCAGCCTGGCGTACAACCGCCACGCCCCTTGCACAAGGCAGCTGGACGCTTGCGCTAGGAGAAGGTGGATAGGTCACACCGGCATTCCGCGTTCCCAACAGGCATAACAATTGATGTATTATTGAAATACAAACCCAGTTTAAACAGAAAAGAGAAAAAAAAAAAAAAAAAAAAGGAAGAAAGGCAGCAGGAGTAACCCTGTATTTAGATTTAATAAAAAAAAATGGCTTTGTACTGCTGCAGTAAAACACACCTGAAATGAAACAAGGACACTTGCACATGCTTCATGGCTTCTCCCCATCTTTCAAACGCCGTTTGCCACACCTGTAGGGCTAAGTGACAATCTGATGCCAGGGCCACCTGCAGCGCTCACAGACCTACACCCCGGTGCTGGGAAGGGAACCTGCAGCTCCGGTCACCGCTACGCAACTGGCAAGCGACATCTTCCCCTTCATCCAGCTGCACGTTCTGCTACAACAATTCAACTGGGAGAAGCGGCTTGCTGGGCACTGGAGCCTCGACTTCTCAAAACACGCATTCTCACGGTGAGGAAAAAAAAAAAAAAAATCAACCAACCAAAAAACCCCCAAAGCATCGTTGCTCTCTTGCCAGCCCAGATTTTCCAGAGCAAAGGGCTGTGGAAGGCAACAGAAAACCCCAAAGCTGAGCAGTACACCAAACCCATCACCCACGCCACCACAGGGGTTTCCTGCTGTCGGGGACCAGGTTGCTCTTTGTACCATTTCTAAAGGAACCCGGTACCCCTGCCTTGGCCAGACCAAGGATCTACAGAACTCACTTCCACAGCTACACCCATCAGCCCCTCAGGGGCTCCTGCGCCCCCCCAAATTTGAGGGAGTAGGGTGCCCACTTCCCCCGCCACAGGGACACCACGCAGGGGTGACACAGCCACAGCCAGCTCCTGGGCAGCAGCGCATTCCAACTCGCAGAGGCACGGGTTCCCCTCAGCGCCAAACCCTGCACTCGGTGGAGCTGCTGAAGGCCTCAGAACCACCCCCATCACCAACACCTGGGGAGCTTTTGTTAGGAAGAGGTCAGGGCCCAGACAGCTGCCTTCCACTTTCAGCAGCTGGCACCCCTGCACTGCCCATGACCCCTCACCCGCTGCTGGCCCAGGTTTCGGATCTCCGCTGCTGCAACAACGCCTAAGCTAAAACTCAAGACACTTCCCCCTCCCCCCCCATCTCATTCAAGAGATTTTTGTCATTTTGTCTCAAACTTTGCACTTTCATTAAGGTGTGTCAATACTTACTTGAAAGAGAAATAAGGGAGTTCAGAGTCACAAGTGAAGACTGACCAAAACCAAATCCTTTATTTCCACAACTGTATAAATGTGCTCCAAGCATGTGTCCAACACAAGTTAGAAAAACAAAATAGAACATGCCAGTTGCAAACTAGATCAGTTCACCGACGTGCTGACTCCTTGGTATTAGGCTTAGTTACACAAGACCAGTCACAGTAAAAAGATACATTTTAGAGTACAAAGAGTAGCAGGATGTTAAGCCATTTCAGCTTGTGCATATACAAGTCACACTTCTGGCAGAAAATGCAGAGAAGGTTGCATTATTATGCTGGAAGCTACGTTGCATCGCTTTAAATGGCATCAATATCGATATCGTCATCTTTGTTGTTTGCAGGCTTCACAGTTTCAACTTTAGGTACACTGGCAGTTGTAGAGTACACCACCTGTGGAGACAAGACACTCGCTTTTACTACAGCGCCTACTGCCATCTTAAGCGCTGGACTCCATGTAACATCACAAGTTGCAACATCCCCTGCTCAACAGCCCTCCTGTTGCCGCCAGCCCCGTGCCAGGCTGCTCCTGTTCTGCCGCACGGGGCACAGCACCTTCCCGTACAGGAGCTAGTACTGCACAGGAAGCCCGTGTTCAGGCGTGCTGGAACTGTAACTACACCTCAACGCCCATCTTCAGAAGGCAGAGGTGTGCACGTGTGTCTGTAGGAAGCAGGATCTTTTATCCAGGAAGAGGAGTAGGTACTACTGGGAGGAGACCGACCAACCAACCCCCAGGCAAAGAAGATCCCAGCCACAGTCAGCCAGAGCCTAGCCAACAGTTACCCAGGCCTAACTGTGAGGCAAACAGCACCCGCTCTTTGATTGGCTTTTCCAACACACACCCACCCGCTAACCCTTCTACAACACAGGGCTTTACACACAATACCCCTTGTCGTCTCTCCCCTGGTACGAGCTACTGCTGTGCAGGAGACTGCACCACTCCACAGCGGCAGTCTGTGGCTATTAAGATGCACCTGTACTGATACAAAAACCATCTTGGGTCAGCAAGTGACTGGGTAGCAAAAGCGCTCTGACAAAGCCGTTAGAAGTGAGGTGCTCCTCCAGTTCCCAACGTGCACAGCAATACATGACACAAGCCGTTTCATAGCCCACCGGGATGAAGAACAAGACTTGAGCATGCAAAACAGCATGACCTCAGGGTTGGTCACAGTGAGTGAGCCTTGCCTACCTCTATGTTTTCATCTTCGTCCTCTTCTTCATTACCAGAGGATTCTTCTTCAGCTTCCTTCAGCCATTTAATAAATGGTTCTGCTTTGACACGGATTTCTTTGGCAAGCTCCTTTGAAACATATTTCTTTGAGGCCTGAAAGACAGAAGTACAGACTGCCTGGACACTGAAGTTCACATCAGATCACACCCAAATACACCAAGAGCTTAACTTGCAACTTGAACCATACCCCACTGCCCTGAACAACCCTTTCTTGAAAGGGAGGTTTCTTCCAGACTGTTACTGATCCGAGATCAGCTGTTTAAAAACATCTGCACACCAGGATGCAACACCAGAACAGAGAAACCCCATGCAGAATGCTACATTCAGTACTTAGCTGGCACAGTACATGAAATACTGCCCCTTACCTTTTCTGCCCAGCCAAGGATGACTTCTTCTTCCAGAAGATCTGCATCATACATTTCCTTCAAAATATGTGGTATTTTAGAAATAAGCTGAGACTGATGCATGGCTACCACACACTCAAAGCCATGGAGAAGGTACCTCTGAGCCTTCTTGTTGTTGTGGCAGAACTAGAATTGTGATAAAACAAACAGGGATGAATTTAGCTTTTTTTTCCTTTCCAGAAAGAGCTGCTGCTTCTGTGCTCAACTCTGAGACGGCAAAGTTTAAAACGGCTCATTCTATCCCGCCCAGCAGTTTTCCCTAGCTAAGAAATAGTGGTTTAAAAACAAAATCCCCCTACAAACAGCCTTCTTCCCCACAGCACCGAGCAATCCAGAACACAGTCAAGTAGTTGCTACAAAACCCCAACACAACAGTCGTTACACTGGGCGCAGAAGAGACAGCTTACACGAAGGAAGTGACGTCTGTATTTCCTGATCTGTTCACGAATCTTTTCGTCGAAAAGGACTTCAGTGAGAACTAGAGGGCCCATAGCCTTTACATCCAGTCTCTCTGCTTCTGCTACAATGTCTTTGTCAGAAGTTTCAATGACACCTTCTTCCTTCTTTTTCTGCAAGACAGGAACAGGTAGGTATGTTTTAAAGCTCCAGAAGTCTGCATCAATGCTCCATTGCACCACTTCCTTCCCCACCACTGCTGGAACCAGTACTCTGGTAGAAGCTTAAGGAGCTTGCTCTTAATCTAACCAACACCGATACAACTACAGCAAAGTGGCTACCAAGCAAACGACAAGAGAATAATCACCTTCACAAAATCAAATAGTATGTTGACCCTCTCCTCCACTGTTCTTTCCAGGTCTTCACTAAGCGTGAGGTTCTTTGCATGGTCACTGATTTCATCCATTCTACGCCTCTGGGCTTCTTCTGTTGTGTCTTCACCCCAGTCATCATCATCCTCCTCCTCCTGAAAAACAAAACCAAACCAAGAGATTCATACAATGTTACCACAAGCTTAGTAGTAAGCGAGTCATGTTTCTAGATACAGAGATACAGACACAGAGAGCATTTTTACAAACGAGTGCTTTTGACTTTTCCCTAGGGAAAGGGTCACACTATGATTATTAGCAAGTCAAAGACAGTGGAGAAAGGGCAGATGTAGGGGAGAAGTAATGGAAGCTAGACATGCGTTTGTAGCATTACTTAAGCGTGGTGTTTCACCACTCGCTCTAGACAGTCAGGAGGTATTCCTTTCCAGGGACCTGCACTGTAAAGGTTTCCCTTTGCAAGGAGCACAGGTACTGTCACTGAAGAGTTGACAAAGCTGCTATAGAGGGGAGACAGGGTTACTTCTGTTCCAGCAGTGAAGTTCTACATACAGTAAGAATTTCTGGTGCAATGTTGACTTGAATAGCCATGACTTAAAGTCCACCCATCCTCATCTCCCCACTTTCCCTTCTACTTACCACAACCTGTGGAGGAGTAATCTCCTCTGGTGGTGGGGGTGGAAGTGTCTCATTGCTGGACACAGAACCATTCTCTTTGTCCTTGCCTTTTCTGTTCTTCTTCTCCTTTTCTTTCTTTCCTGTACCAGTGTCACCACTTTCTGCAAGTGAATTGTAGTGTTTCAACTTTCTCTAGTTCATAGACTAAAGCCCCTGCGCTATTGCACCTCTGCCAAATCCCCATTGCAAAGACATCTGAAAGGTTGTCCAAGTCTATATAACAGGTGATCTCACAAAGCAGAGACCCCTGGAATAGGTTAGACTTTTCTATTCTAGCAAGCTTAAATTGCAGCAGGCAACTGGATGCTTACTACAGAGTGTTGCTTGCACGGGACAATTACATTACAGTTAGCATGTGCTATACTGCTTTTACTTCCTACCCTTCTACTTCATGCTGACCTAAAAGCAAAACTGCAACGAGCGCCTGCTGAGCAGCTCTCCTCCTATCAAGTCTTGTCCTGCACAGGCAACCACCACTCTTCTCTTCACAGATACTCCTACTGGGGAAGGATCCCCATCACAAGCATTGAAGCTATGAGCACAGCTGCTTCATCCTGACCTACAAACATACTCCGGGACTTTGCTGGAGCCTTTTTATACTTTAATTAGAGGTGAGCAATTTGTTTTTCTACTTCGTTAACAGCACTCACACTGAAGAAGTTCCCTTTACCCTCACCAAATAAGGAAACACACTCACCAGGTGGGTTTTTGAGAATGAACGTGCAGAGTTTATGGTTTGTGTCAAGCATGCCTCGATAGCCACAGGCTTTGCAAGAGTTACCTATAGTTTGTTTCTTAGGATTGACATGCTGTAAAAAGAGAACAACCTCCAGTTAACATACCACTTACAACACAACTATGCGTTAAAGCCTAAACCTGATGTTTACATTACCAACTCCACAGGATTAAGCCAAAGGTTTAAATACTCTCCATCACCCCCAACAGCGCAAGTTTAGAAGTAGCAATTCAGCTCACAAGCTTTGAGCTGTTAGAAGTCTAGAACATTCCAAGGGGCAGTGGGAGTATACTGGATTCTCTCTTCATAGATACTCAAAAGTCAGCTATTGACATCACACCACTTCCATAAACATCTAATTAAATATTTCTATAGCATTACCATTAACACAGACAGTGAGTACTCACCAGATCAGTTTCAGGATTCTCACACTCAGGACAGAGAACAAATTTTTTAATGAATCCATCCAACATGTCTTGCAGCTTATTCGCCTCATGAGATCCATTGACAATGTAACGGTCATTCTTAACATCAAACTGGGTCTGTGCTCCCAGCTCACAACCAAAAAATTTGGTAGGATCTGTAAAGAAAGTGTAATCATCACCACTACCCTCATATCTTCACTGTGATTTTTAACAGCAAGTAAATATGCCACTGCTTCTTTCTGTTCATTATTTCATCCTGACAATGATACTTCTAACAAATCTTGAAAAAACAGCATTAACTAATGCTTTATTAGCTACTTAACACTACCACTTCAAACACAAAAGCATAAAAGAAAATGCTGCGTCACTCCAGACTACTTACACGTTGGAGGCCGATTAAGCGCCTTTGCAACGTCAACCATGTTGACTATAACTGTCTTTATTCCATTTCCTTTGCCCTCCACCTGAATTAAAAAAAAAAGTGTTTTAATCGTAAGTGACTGCAACAGCCAAGCCCAGTATGTATTCCCCATTTCACTACATCGAAGTTCTGCTTTGAAGTTTGTCATCTTAGAAGAGGTAACATGCACTTAGTCTGGACAGAAGGGAGCAGACATCCTCCTTGCCCTGTGACTGGCTACACATTGGCATCATTACCTCACACCTCTACTTCTCTTCTATCAAGACAACAATACAAAACACTACCTACTTACCACTAATGGTCAATAAATTACCTTGGCAATCAGACGGGGCATTTTGTAGCGATAGAACTGATCTGAAACACTGCGGTTGACGTTGACAGACATTTTGGCTTATTAGTAGCTTTATCAATAAGATGAAGAGATCTTTGATTGCAGTTTTTTGGTATCTTCTGTCTGGAGAAGACGGGATGACATAAACGACTGCAAGAGTTCTCGGTCTCTGACATGAAAAAATTTTCGCCACTGAGGCTGTAAGGTTCTTGCTTGTATGCTATGTTTCCCCAATACAGGTACCAGTGGCTGCGCAACAGCTCTGCAAGCGTTAATAAACAGAAAAGAAATTAAGTTTACCTTAATGTGTACCAAACAGATTTTGCTAAAGAGCTAATAAAAGGACTATATGTAGGGTGAAAAGAAATAGAAAAAAGTACATTCTTTATGCTACGGCTTTCTTCAACTTGTGAAACTGAAAATAACAGCTTTTAACTGTACTGCTAAAGAGCTTTTCCTCAACTACACCACAGAGCTTTCCACCCTCTTCTGTCTTGCTACCCAGAAAGCACTGAACAGTTTAAGACTATTTTCTGTACAATTAACTCCTGAAGGAGTGCTGCGGTCACTAAGGAAGGGGAAGGAACACTGGTTTATTATGGAGACCAATGGCTCTTGCACTGAGAGGGTCATGTGATACATCTCAGGCTGCAGGAAGCAGGACAAAGATCTGGAAAAGAGCTTGAAATTCCACATCATAGCATGAACCTATCACAAACTGAAGTATGTCAGAATGTTGAGAAGTATCAGTAAGATGAAGCAGCAGCAATCTGTAGCCCAACATAATTTTTACATGGCTTACCAGTTTTTTTGGATCGGAGTGGAAAAGAGTTGAAAGTTAGGTAATTCTCCCTCTCACTTATGGATTCTCATAGCAGCTTCTGTTGAGTTTTGACTTAACAATAAGCCTGATAAAGTCTGACATAAGTTGCTTCACTGTAGAAAGCCTAGCAATGCAGAGGTACAGAGCAGTGCAGCAGCTTTTCCAGTTGATTTTTTTCTTAGGGGAAGGGGGAGGAAGGGGAAGGAGGATGAATCCTATTATTAAAGTTGCCTTAAGCAGTATTTACATATTTAAATTAACACGTGCCTCTATAATCAGATCTAAGAGTACTTAAGCCACAACTGGTTGACTACACAGGCAACCCTGACTACAGCACGGCTATTCTGACACGTCATCATGTTGTTATCATTAATAGCAGAAGCGTTGACACATTAAAATAGCTTTCTTAGTATTTATGTATTAAGTATATGTGCAAGTTTATCAGTTCCATACAGTCCGAGCCCCTCCGGTCAGGTTTACAAATTTTTTACACAAGAAGCAAATAGATTTTTATTTGCCTCTCCCATTACCCCAGAAGCAGTTTTGCCCTTTCTCAGCAAAAAGTGCACCGTGGACTTTGTTTCAAGCACGAGGCTTCCTTCCCCAAGATGTCTAAAAAGAGCCACCACGTGACCTGACCACGCGCTTGCAGAAGCACTGAGGAAGCAGGTATCTCGGTGACGGAGCATGAGCTCTCAGACAGAACGTGTGGTTTTCCCCTCCTTCCAGATTACAGCTTTTGTCTGCTGCACAACGTTGTTAACTTTAACCCTTAAGGCATCATTCCCCCCCCCCCCCCCCCCCCCGGCCTCCATATGCTATGCACAGAGAAAAAAGCGGGAAGGCAGACAGACTCCGTGCTTCAAAGCAGTTTCCCCGCCCTAACTCAGCCCCGTGATGAGTCATAAATGCAGCAATTAAGCACTGAGTCAGCCCTGGAAGAGATGGGGGAAGTCACCTCCAGCCACGCATGCGCTCTCCAGCAGCAGGAGGGGGAC